TTTTTAGTATTTTGTTGTGTTTTTATTTCAAATTTTGAGATTTAGGCAATTTTAACCCAGTTAGATTTATTGTTTCAAATATTAGTTTTCCAGAATCAAACCTGTGGTGGGAAATGATGCAGTAGAAAGTTGTACAATTTGTCCAAATTGACACCCAAATACCTCCAAAAATACAAAATAAATAAATAAAATAGAATCTTCAACAGAATCACATTAAGTGCTAATATTTCAGATTTTTTGTGATTTTAGGTCGTTCTGCTGCCCTCTAGTGGCCAAAAAGTGACTGTACAAACCAGTATAACCATTTAATACATCAGTTTCACTTCCAGACATCGAAACAGCACCGGACTCTTCATGCAGCACAACAACAGTTTGTTAGTCTGAGAGGCAAAATGTTGGTTTATTTTGAGAAGAAAAGCCATTAAGTGATTTAATCTGAGATAAAGTTTATAAAACGATTTCTGCCGCGTCACAGTAAACAGAGAAACCATGAAGTGGAGCGAGTCTGACGCCCGGCTTCCAGGGGTTTTGGCACTTTAACAGAATTATGATCAAATTTCTGCCGTTTTTATCCGTTAGTGTTGAGCTGCGTTTCCCAGCCTGGATGATGCATAGTGTTCGCAGGAGAAGAGCTGCACAGTCAGTATCCTACCAGGAAGTGGGTTTTCAGGCACTGTGGAGCGGAACGCTGCATCTGCTGGTTGAGTTTCAACCTAATCAGATCCAATGATCAGTGGAAACCGACAGATGTTGTGGAGACATGAAACCTGCGACAGGCTGAGGAAGTCAGAGAGTTTTTGGCTGTTTGTAGCGAACCGGGCCGGTTCGTTTATCGGAGTTTCATTTTCCAGGAGCAGCAGGTTTTGTAGACGACGCTGTAGTGTGGGCGGCTTCGCCCGGGTCCAGGCTCGCAGGTTGATTCTGTCTTTGGCACAGCAGCTGCTTCCGTCAGACTGGACCTCAGGCGGGTCGCCCCGCCGTCATTGGACTCAACCAGAACCACAGAACTTTGTCCTGAGCAGAAGGAACAGCCCCCGGTCCAACATGGCGGTCAGGTCCAGACCTCCATGGGGACCATGGCCTCCTTGCAGCCGATGGGTGGCAGCAGGTTCTGTTCGCTCATGAACTGGAGCGGGAACTGGACCAGGAAGCCGCGGATCTTCTTCAGCTCCTCCTGGGCGCGGGCCGGGTCTTCTCGGGCCAGGCCCGGTTTGGCTAGGAAGCCCTCCAGCTCCGAGATGTTCCGCACGTCGCTGGACGGCAGACAGCGGAAAACCTGCAGCAGGCAGAGAGAGAGGTCAGAGGGCGAAGGGTGGGGAGGGGTCTGTTACCAAGGAAACACCAATACCGGTCCGTTACCAAGGAAACACCGATACCGGTCCGTTACCAAGGAAACACAGATACTGATACTTTTTATCATTTAGGTCTGATTTAGCAACAAACCTCTGATTTTTAGGAGTTTTATGGTTTTTCTATTTAGTTATTTTGTTAAAACTTTTAGTTCTAAGTGTCGAAAATAAACAACTTTAAAAACAAAAATATGGAAGACCATTAGTGCCACTGGAAAAAAATAGATTCTGACATTTAAGCTCAGAAGATTAAGTCAGAACCTGAAGGAAAAAAAATGAAGAAAAAAGTTTAAATTCTGAGAAAAGAGATGCTGAGGAAAAAACTCCAGGATCCTCCTAGTTAAAACCTCAAAACCTGAAACTGGTCATGAGACTGGGCGTGGTTGCCATAGCAACAGCCCCACCTTCTGGTAGATGGAGGCATTGCGGGCGCAGGTAGCCATCCAGGTCTCCTTGTAGAAAAGTTCGCTGATGGGATCGGAAACGTCAATGGATGGATCAGTGTTGGCGCCGAGGATCATCCTGAGGAGACAGGAAGTTCAGACATGGAGGAGCATCATCAGACAGGAAGTTCAGACATGGAGGAGCATCATCAGACAGGAAGTTCAGACATGGGGGAGCACCATCAGACAGGAAGTTCAGACATGGAGGAGCACCAACAGACAGGAAGTTCAGACATGGAGGAGCATCATCAGACAGGAAGTTCAGACATGGAGGAGCATCATCAGACAGGAAGTCAACGTGAGATTATGGACATATCAGCAGAATAAAGTAAAAAAAATTACAAAAATAGTATTGAATAGCTAATCTGAGCAGCTCAGTTTGTGTTTCTTTCTTCAGTCTTTTCCTGAATTATTTCAAAGTTCTGCTATTGAAAATTTAAGGAAACTAATCTCACCTGGTCGGACCCTAATCCTCTAAGTTTAGAAAATAAACAGAGAACAGGATCATGGAGTGAATATTCTCGCATTGTGAAGCTGAACTGTGGAAGTTGAGACAGAATGAAAAACTGATCGTTGTGGTTTTCAGTTTTTCCCCAGAAATGTTCGTACCTGAAGCACTCGAGGCGCAGCTGCAGGGCGAACTTCCCGGCGCGGTACGGCTGCCCGTCCATGACGGCGTCCACCGTCTCCGAGTCCTCCACGATGACGGCCACCTCGCTGTCCCGCTTCCCCAGCATGCTGCGGTCGTTGATGTTGGCGGAACCTGCAGACAAACCGGATCCGGCTGAGTTTGGCGCCTCCTGTGAGGCGGCGGCGCCCGCCAGCCGAGGCCTCACCGATGATGACGGTGTTGTCGTCGGCGATCAGCATCTTGCTGTGGACGTAGATGAGCTCGGTGACCAGCGTCCCCTCCAGGTCGGCGTGCGTCCGCAGGCCGGTGAACGAGATGTAGTTCATCCACTGATCCCCCACTGCAGACAGACAGACCCGAGTCAAACTGGACCCGCCACCAGGTCAGACGGAACATCAGAATATTTGCGCAGCAAAGATTTTTGTTTGTGCAGATTTTTCTTTGAAGGTCTTAATAAAAGGTTAAAGGTCAAAAGGTCAAGCTGCCCCCAACATCACTCAGACCAAATTGGTGTCAAATTTTAAAACGTTTGTGCAGCAAAATTTTTTGTTGGTGCTACTTTTACTCTGCGCAGTTAATATTTATATTTGTGCCGCCATCATTTTAACATTAATAAAAATGTTTCCAGAGGTCAGAGGTCATCTCCTCACATTTACAAAATCTAAAGTTTGTTGTCAATCAACTCCGTTGGTGCAGCTGTTTCTGCTTTGAAGATATTGAGGATGACCTCTGACCCCTGCAAACTTCTTCGTTAATATCTTTAAAATATGGCAGCATCCCTGGGGTCGAACCAAACGGCGTCAGATTCTCATTATGACCCTAAACGCGGCGAAGGTCAGAGGTCGGCGCCTTACTCTCGGCTCTCAGCTGGGAAATGATGGAGTGCTCTCCTTTGTTCATCGTCCTGCAGACAGAAAGCAGCAGAGATGAGGATGATGAGGATGATGATGGCGGAGCAGCAGGTGGACCCGCCAGGCGCCGCCTCACCTGTAGTTGAAGTGCATCACCGCCTGGATGGCGCTGCCGCCCCCCGTGTTGATGTCGCCCTCGAAGCCCGGCAGCAGAGGCGTCACCACGTAGACGCGGTACTTCGCTCCCTCCCTGCAGCGACAACGTTACCAACACTGAGAGCGCCATCTTGGTTTTATTACATCATTTCCTGCATTTATCGTGATAAATTAATAATTTTATTGTCACAATAAATTCCTATTAATGATGTTTAAATCCCCCAAACTGTCTTAATTGTCAGAATTGGTAGATTATTCAATAAAAGCAACAAATATAAGAATATTTAGTTGCTGTGTGCAGTTAGTGAAACAAATCATAATTATTGATGTGTGTTTTACAAAGGGAAAGTTTTTCAAAAGAATTATTTGTGTTTGTGGAAGCATAAAAACGTACAAAATGTGAATTTTGGGTAACAGATTCCCTGTAAGTCACCCTCCCTACCAGATTCATCAGGGTATCTGCAGGTTTTACCAAGTCCAGTTTAAGACTTTAAACTGTAATTTAAGACAGAGAAGACTATAAATATGTTTAAAGGGAAAAGTTGGAGGATCCGGCTGTAAGCAATCAGCATTGCTCAACCTGCCACGTTTCTGGAGTTTGTGGTTCTTTGTGGTTGTCATGGAGACGCAGCGCTCAGCCTGAGCAGAAAGTTTAATTTAACTGAAACTTTTCCCTTTTAAAACTCAGATGATGATAAATAAAATTAAAACAGAATCAAACCCCAAACCCTACAATTAAATATAAATAACCTGCATGAATAAGAGAACAGAGAGATGAAGTCTGCTGAAGTGGGTGAACTGGGAGTCGTTGTAAAACCCAGAGGAAGTAACATTCAGGCTGAACTGCAGCTTCCCGTCATCCGTCCATCTTCACAGTTTTTATTTCTGAGCTTTTATTGCAGCAACATTATCAGCTGCTGGTTCTGCTTCCCTTTATGAAAAGTCCTGGTTCAGACATCAGGTTGAGACAGAGCCGGGCTCTGATTGGTCAAACCTCCAATGTCTAACAGAAATCATCAAAGTGTTCAAAGTGAGGTGTGGGGGCCATTTGTGGCCCCTGGAATGACTTATTGTGGTCTCCAACTGAAATTCAAGAACGATTCTAACTTCATAAATGATGAAATTTCGTTATTGTTTAAATTCCTGGATATTTATATTGCCATTAATTGTCATGTTCCTAATGTGCATTGTTCTAATCAAATAAATTAAAATATTTCTTGCCTGATTTGAAATGAATAAATAGAAATAATCAGATCATTTTCTGTAACTTTATGAAGCTAAAAATAGAAACTGAAGAGATTAAAACACCTGATCAACACTTTCATCACTCTGACGCCTTTAATTTCTACTCTGCACTGTTAACACACTGACCCAGCAGTGTGTGTGTGTGTGTGTGTGTGCGTGTGTGTGTGTGTGTGTGTGTGTGCCACTGTGTTTCCTTCACCAGGATGTGAAACAGTGACGCTCTGAGCCTCAGCGGTGCTTTAAGCCAGAACACACAGCAGCAACACGTCTGTGTGTGAATCGGGTCATAAAGGGTCATGACCTCTGACCTGTAAGCCTTTTTGATGCGCTCTGCTATCGTGTCGCCGATCTTGTTGTAAACCAGCTTGTTTTCTGCGCAGCTGATGAAAAACTGATTCTGGAGGAACAGAAAAGGGAAACGGATCAGAAAACGTTCAGATCATCACAACCTGCATCGTTTATCAGAAATAATGAAGAAAAGACAGAATTTAAAAGTAAGAATCCACTGCAGGGTTAATCTGAGTTAAACACACAACTCTCCACTAGCTTTAGCATCACAGTCATTAGAAATGTACCTTTATGACCAATCATAAAGGTACAGTTTCTTCCAGTGTTTGGTGGAAAGACAGAAACGATAAGTCCTGTATTAATTTATCGTGTGATTAATTGATTTATAGCTTAATCTAGATTGAAACCCAGATTATGAAATCGTGACACCTGGAAGTTAAAAACCTGCCAACAGATTTCTGCCATGAATCAGGATCTTTACAAGCTGCTGCAGTGATGAATGTCGGCCGATACCTCGATGTAAATGAAGTGCTGGCTGTTCTCGATGGCGTGGACGTACGCGTTGTGGATGGACTCCTCGTGGTATTTGATGCCGGCTGACCAGTCTGAGGCCGAGCGAAGGATCTGAAGAGAGAGAGATTTACTGTAAGCTCATTTTTTTACAGTTAGCATGAAACAAGAGGAAAAACAACCAGTAACTGTAATCATTAATGTCTAGGCCACTGTACACGTTTAATGAAACAAAATCAACTTAATGAGATCACATCATAAAAACTGCATGCTAACCTGAACTTTAGCGGTGGTGCAGTTGGGGACTTGGTATCGAAGCTCCCCGGCCGTCAGGTGCGACTTGGGCAGCAGGTATGGAAACGACAGAGAGCGATACTTTGGCTTCACCAGCTGGCAAAGAGGAGAAACCAGGACCATAAAGACAAATACAGCACGGCTGCATCCAAATGTGTTTAAATTTAGCATCAAAGTCAATGACATTAAAACTCTCAATGCTAATGCTAACAGCGCTAACCTTGGTGAAGTTCCACCGCTGGATGAAATGTCGAGCCACGTCTCGCGCCGCCTTCCCATGGACGACTGACGCGATGTCGTGCCAAGGCATTCTGGGAGTTTTATGTCTGTCTATGAAATCTAAAACAGACAGAAATGGGAAAGTAAGTGAAATGTAGAAGATGAATCCTGTTGGAACGGAGATCAGAGGAAGCGAACCATCGAACGGTTTGTCCAGCTGAATCCAGTCCTTGTGCACAAAGTTGCAGTAATCCTTCCCGTGCCAGAACCTGGTGTCTCCGAACAGATCCCCGACGCCCGTATGAAGACTTCGCACAGAGCGGCTCCCTGAAACAGAGACACACGGACATTTAACCAACAGGTCTGTCTGCCAGAAACAATAAAAAAATACAAAGTCACCGGATGGTTCATTAGCTTTTTCAGAAACAAGCGTAAAGAAAAAACTAAACCATTCAATAGCAACCTATGAGTTATTCTGTCTGTGTGCAAATAAAACAAACATCAAACCAGAAAAACCAACTTCAAAAACTCCAAGCCTGGAAATTTCATGTTCCAGAATATTGAATTTCTAAGATGGTGAAGTTCTGCGAAAACAAATATTAGGCAGAAAACAAACAACAAAAGACTAAATGTTGATTTAAAATCCGGTTTCACAATGAAAATTATATTAAAAATTAGCAGAAATGTAATAAGCTAAGCTCCGTTTGTCCCTGGTGACTAAAGCTTGTAATCGTCTTCATGTTCAGAGTTTCTGCAGCGAGAAAAATTATGTCTGGAGAAACGATTCACCAGGAACATGAAACAGAAGATGGAAGGGAAAACATCACAAAAATCAAACATGCAAAAGCCAACAAACCTGAATGTTTCACCTAATAATGACTTCATGTACGAGACGCACAGTTGTAAAAATAAACCTTGTGTTTTTGGCAGAGGGAAAATAAAACAGAGGTGGGTCACATGACTTGGACTCGAGTCAAACTCGAGTCATTAAAATCAAGACTTCAGACTTGACTTGAAAAAATTCTCAAAGACTTGGACTTGACTGACCTTCACACCAGTGGTTTCTGGATGGTAATGCAGCACATTATTTTGTGTCTTGGTTAGCGATTCTGGCAAGTTTGATTCACGCAACGTGTTTTTATCAATACTGAGATGTGAAATTCGCTGTAGATTTAACCCCACTTGGACTGAAAAAAAAAAAAAAACGACTCGAAATGACTTGAAATTCCAAGCTCCCGTCTTGAAACTTGACTCAACTTTTGCCTAACTTGAGACTTGACTTGACCGTCTTTACTTGAGACTTGACTCGGACTTGAGGACAAGTCCGAGTCAAGCATAAGCTGTGTGAATCTCAAGAATAAATAAACTTCGATAGCAATTTGACCATTCAAAGGGCTTTACACTACAGCCGTTTTTTGTCTCTTCTTTTTTCCCCCCATTATTTTTAAATCCTGTTTTGAGGCTTGCAAAACAGTGACTTGGTCCCACCTCTGAAATAAAATAACCACTTACCTTCTGAAATAAACATTTCTGCATTTATTCAGCTAAATAAACACAAACAGGAGAATCTTAACTTTTTCTTATTGGTACTGATAAACTAACAGGTTATTAGGAACTTTTTATATGGTTGATCTTCCACATCTGTATTTGTTCCAGGTGAACCAGTAAAAATAATTTCTAACATCTTCAGCTGAGAACAGAGGTGGCAAAAAAATAGAATCAAGTAAAAGTAAAAAATATCCGTTCAAGAAATGACTCAAGTAAAAAAGTATTTGGTAAAAAGTCGACTCAAGTACTGAGGAACAGATCAGATTACCAATCATTTACATACATAAACTATAAAATTATAATGTTGAATTCACTCCATTATAATTTTATTTACCTGAAAAAGAGACAAACAGTTTCTGTGACATCATAAAAACCACCACAGATTCTCTGTTTTTAAAAACAAAGATCAACCTTTGACCCAGAGGACCAAAGGTTGTCGAGTAAAGGTCAAATCCACAGCAGTGCATGCTGGGAAACGGGTCTGGTGGCCGTCGTGCCGGGACTCACCGGCCTGGGCGAGCGGCAGCGGCGCCGCCGCCCGCAGCTCCAGCAGCCGGCCGGGAATCAGAGTCTGCTGGCTGTTGATGCTGGACGACCAACCTGAACAGACCGGCCGCAGCCGCAACGTCAGCAACCAGCAACGCAACGCAGCAACATCCTACCAACTCTATATTCCTACATCAGTGGAGTCCAAACTTTTTATCCTTTGGGCCAAAAACATTTCAGTTTTTAATTGAAACTGAAACATTTATTTTTTAAGACATTTGTGTCTTTATTGAATATCTCATCTATAAAAATCTCAAATTAATCGTGAATTCACTCCTGTGGACCAAACAAAATCATCCGGAGAGCCGAAAATGGCCCTCGGACCTCACATTGGACAACCATTCCTCTGAAATGGTCGGGTACCGATCTTTTTATTTTATTTACCTGATTTGGGGGGGAAAGTCCAAAAAACATTTCTGAAAGACTTAAGTCTAGAAAATGACTAAAACCTTTTTTTATTAAAAAGTTATGAGTTTATTTACTTCAACGGAAAAAATGAATAAAATGGATCAAATGTTTTAGTTAAACAAAAATAATTCATCAGTTCTAAAACTTAAACTAAATCTTAAACTTTTCTCACATTAAAGTTTTCCAGCACTTTGGAGATAAAAGCAATAAAAATGAACAAAAAAGTTTTAATTCACCCTTACATTATATAATTTATTATTAATTTATTACTGACATTAAAAATGTCTACACTTTAGGTCAGTGGTCCCCCAACTTTTTCCTGTGAGGGCCACATAACTTTTCCCTTTTCCGGTGGGGGACCGGAAATTATTGAGAGGGGGGGCGGGGGGGTTCGTTTCTACCCAGAAAGCACAGGGGCAAAACCCATGAGTGAAACGGTCACTGGGACTGACTAGTATATATTCCAATGAGGGAAAGTAACTTTAACATATTAATTTCTCATATATTAACATAAAGGCTCGTTTTGAAGTATAAGCTGCTACTTACAGGCATCGCTTCCTGGAATGCGGCGTTCATAACAGACACGTGTTCATCTGCTCTACCGTTAGCAAACAACCTACTGATTAAATAACATAAAAGTCAAGCAGTTCCCTAAAAGTCCAACAGATGGCAGCAATGCGCCCCACAATTTACAGGACACACTTCCTGCTAAAGAGCCCCCTGGTGGTTGAAGAAAAATCCACATA